ATTGAATCTAATGTTTATCACGTATGTGATTACAACTTGATTCGAAACGATAGAACTACGGGAAGAGGTGGGGGTGTTGTCATTTATTGCCGGAAGTCACTTAAAGCAGAAATAATATTTAAGTCCGACTCGTCAAATGCAGTTGAATGTCTCTTTGTTGAGATCGTTGATAGTAAAACTAAATGTCTTGTTGTTTGTGTTTACAATCCATGTAAAAAAATGACCTAACGAGTGTACATGAGAAGTGGTATTAAAATATGATCATATTATATGCTGCGGTGATTTCCATGTTGACCTTTTATGTAATGATCACAACTCAACAAAACTAGTAGATAACTTTCAATCGAACGGGCTTAATGCAGTTAATAAGCAAGGCACTCGATTTTCTCCAAACTGCAAGCCCAGTTTATTGGATTTGTTCTGTGTTAGTGATTGTGATTATGTTAATCATGTTGAGCAACTTTCTGTGGCAGGCGGCTCAGACCATGATATGTTGTTTCTGTCATATGGAATCGATTTCAGTAGAAGCCATCAACCTTCCGAAGTTTTGTAGATGTTAATGTACACGCACTTAATAACGAAACAGCTCTATTAGACTGGAACACTTGCAGGTTTTTCTCTAATGTAGATGACAAATTAGATTACTTCAACCTCGTAACTTTCTTGTTTGACAGATATGTTCCTTTACGTAAAGTCAAGACTCTACCAGCTACGTAACGCTGGTTTACATCAGAAGACCTTCATGTTATTAGATTTCGCAACAAGGCATACTCTGAATGGAAAAGAAATCAAACGCAATATCGTTGGGAAAGCTACCGGATTGCTAGAAACAAAGCCAATTTATGGGTCAAAAATGGTAAACAGGCGTATTTGAAAAAAAACTAAACGCAGACTTGCCAACAGATATTCTTTGAAAAAATCTTAAATCAATTGGTGTAGGAGATAAGGAAAAAACATTATGTAATCTTGATGTAGAAGTTATGAGTTCTTTCTTCTTAAATCCTCATAAATCTAGCGCGTGCTTGGATATTGGCAATGCCTTTGAAGTCCCACAGTGTGTGTTTAATTTGAATGTGGCGACTGAAGATGACGTGATTAAAGCTATATATGCGATTAGGTCCAATGCGGTGGGTTCCGATGGCGTGAACTTAAGGTTTTTAAAACTAATTTTACCGTTTGTTATATCTCCCCTCACACATATCATTAACTTCTCAATTACCTCCAGTCAGTTTCCTAGCGGCTGGAAAATTTCAAACCTCATACCAGTGCCGAAAGTAAGTTACCCTGAATCGCCACAGCATTATCGACCAATAAGCATCCTTCCTGTATTATCTAAGGTATTTGAAAAATATATAGAGAGTCAATTAGTCGCCTTCTTAAATGAAAACAAATTGGGTTCATTGCTGTTCCCTATATTTATAAACGACATCGTGAATTGCTGCCGCAATGTATCAATTCATTTGTATGCAGATGATACCCAAATATACTTATCGCGCCCCATGGGATTGTCACAAGACCTAGTCTGTAGGATAAATGAAGATCTCTCTCGTATATCTAGTTGGGCACAAGCAAATAACTTGAAACTGAACTCTGGCAAAACAAAGGCAATATCCCTATCTAACAATGAATACAATCTAAGTTGTTTATCCCCTGTTAAAATTGATGGTGTTGAAGTACAGATAGAGCAGGTTGTGACTAACCTTGGTTTCAAAGTGAATTCATGGATGAGCTGTGTTGATCATATAAACTACTCGATTTGTAAAATATATAACGTATTAAGGAAATTACATCGCACTGCATATTTCTTACCAAATGATGTAAAACTCCGAGTAGCTAAGACACTAATAGTTCCTCAAATTATATACAGTGAAGTTGTATACTCTAAGCTTGACAATGCATCAAAACTAAAAATACAAAAAGCTTTAAATACTACAGCTCGTTTTATTTTCTCAAAACAAAAATATGACCATATTTCAGCTCATTCTAAGCAAATACTTGACAACACCCTGGATAACTTTCTTAAAATAAGAAATCTTCTTTTTTTACACAAGTTGGTTTATACTGCAAAACCAGAATACTTATTTAAAAACCTAAAATTTGGGCAAAGCGAGCGTGTGCTAAATATTATAATACCTAAGACTACGTACATTGTTACTTCTCACATGTTCTTTGTTCATGGTGCACAATAAAAGATGCTAGATGCTTCAAGAATACAATACAAACTTACTTCTCTTGACTTGCCTCTGGAAAACCTCTCCCTCCTCATTCCCTTCCCTCTATACTATCTTCTTCTACCTTCTCTCTATGCCTTTTATAACTAATTCTAATTTTAAAATAATATTATATATAATTTTTTATTATTATTACTATTTTCCTTTTTTTAACATAGTTTTTAACATAGTTTACCACAAGTCGATGTGCTGTAAGAGACACTAGTCTCACTTGCATAAATTAAACATATAAATAAATGAAATGAAATAAATGAATTGAAAATATTAGCCATCGGCTATATAAATAACGTAAAATTATATTTTATTATATTTGTTAGAAAAAAAGTAATAAACGATGGGATGGAGAAAAACTATAAGTATTGTCATGTCCTATGGGCAATAACTAATGTGACCAACCGTACTTCTTTCGGAAGTACAGTACTTCTTTTTTAGCTCTTGTACTTCGTACTTCGAAGTACAGTCAAATGTACTTCTTTGCAATATTTTGTACTTCAGGTCCTGTAGTTCCCTGAACTTCTGGACGATCGTATCATGGTCTGGGCGCTAAATTCGTGCAAACAATGAAAGTCGCCGGGAACCGATGGCATAATACCTGCGAACTGCGTGGGGACCGGGTACATTCCCAAGGCTTGGAATTGGGTCAGTGTTGCGTTCATCCCGTAGGCCGGAAAGGGTTCTCATGTTTCTCCTAGGGATTTTAGGCCAACCAGCCTGTCTTCGTTTTTGCTTAAACCGCTAGAGAGGTGGAAAAACCTTTACATAATAAACGCGATTCCTCGTGACTATCTTTCAAGAGCTCAACATGCTTATTGCTAAAGTGGACAGAGGAAGCCTTCACGCAGTATGGTCGTTCCTAGATATCGAGGGTGCCTTCAACAATGTCACTCCAGAGGCAATAGTCAAGTCTACTCATAATCTGGGGGTTTAAACTAACCCTAGTTTAAACCAACCAAGTACTTAGGCTTGATCCTGGATAGGAAGCTGCCGTGGAAGCCTAACAATGAGGAAAGGGAAAAAGGGCCTCGGTTGTCTTGTACTATTGTAGGGGAGCTATCGGCCAAGGGTAAGATCCCTCGCCCAAAGTAATTCAGTAGCTCTATGGAACCAGATTTAAACTTATCTTGTTTCACGAGCCCTTGTCTGGTGGAACCCGCTAGAGAAAGTTACACTTTTAAAACAACTGGAGAATTTTGACTCGCTCTTCTGAACTAACACTGAGCTCTCAGGTATCGAAATTCGCCGCATTCGAAATTCGGTAATCGACTCGCGGCGTTAACCTAATACAGCCTAACCTGTACTTCTTTGAGCTATGAAATAGTTGGTCACATTAGCTATAACAATATGAGAACCCCTGCATATTTTTTTTTTACTTTTGTATCACTGTTATTATTGTCTTATTCATTAATTTCCTTGTAATTCGAAAATCGATCAGAAAAAATCTAGTATTTGCTGTTCGATAAAATGTCTGTCAAATGCATTGCTATCGGGACACGATATTCCCACCTTCTCCCAAAGATTCAGATGAATTCAAAATATTATTCGAGGATAATGATGATTTAAGAGACGTCTCTATAATGGATTTCAAAACGGCACTTTCATAAACACCAAAACTAAAGAAGAGAAGAAGTATTTCTGGATGTTATTAGCTTCGAATAGAATTTTCATGAAGGATGCAACTTTTAAAATTGTTCCTCGAAGTATTTACATCCAACTTTTGGTGATGCAAGTTGTAACAAATGGATAAACAGAGTGTTCGAGACTTGATTATTGACTTTGCGTTGAATTTCATTCCTTAAAAGTTTTGCACTTTTTGTCAAATTATTTTACTGATTGAAAAATTAGGTTTTTTTTATTCCTTTTGCAATTGAATAAACATATCTTTGTAAATCTTCATTATTCGTTAAATAATTACGGGAACACTTTTCAATTTTCGCTCCTAAATACGCTCCAAAAACATTCCCAGCAACCACAAAAATGTAGTCGCCTGTATACACACTTTGTAGCATTGTGTACAAATACAAGTGAGATATCTTAGCAATAGATGTCATCCTGGGCCACAGCTGCGATCATCTGTTTTTTAGAGTTGCTTATTTTGGTCAAAACTGTGCCTTTTTGACCTGAGTTGCATTAAATGGTCTCATAAAACTTAGTACTATTTGTTGTTCAAATGGTAACATATATGCCCAAAAACTTGGAAAATATTAGATAATTGTTTTTAAAAATACTATTTATAAAATTTCCTTTTGATTTCGACTTTAGAAATATTCATATTCTAAAAGTTTTTCACATATGTTTTAAGATTTTGAAGTTTTTAAAAAGTACGGTAGAATGCAACAATGTGCTTGAATTTGTTTGCAGCTTCGTCAGCTTATCGTTTGCGGACTCGAAAAATGGCGAACGGCTATCAAAATACTGATTCAAAATATACAGCTTTCACTGGACACACAAATTGGGTGTGCGCAGCAAAATTCAGCCCTAATGGTCAGTTAATTGCATCGTGCGGCGACAAGTTAAGAATTTGCGATACATCTTCAGGCGAATGTGTGCGAACGTTCACCCGGGGAAGAGGTATGGGACGACAGCTGGCATGGCATCCAGACGGTAATCTGGTGGCTTTAGTATTAAGTTGTAACCGCGTTAAAATATTTGGCATAGCCGAAGGCGAGCTAATACAGTTGTATCAAGTGCATTCGTCGCCGGAGAATGATGTTGCATTTCACCCAGGTGGAGATTTCTAGGTGACTGGCGGTGATGACGATACAATAACATTGCTTGATTTATTAGAAGGTCGACCAATTTATACACAGTAGTAGTGCACTTTAGCGGAACCAGGTCAAAATGGACGGGAAAATTATACACTAACTGGCCATACTGACAAGGTTTGCGCCGTCGCTTTCTCCACATGGTAGACATTTTGCTTCCGCGGGCGAGGATCGACAGGTAATTTCGGCTTTGTGTGTGAAAAAATTATATAATATACATTTTTTTCCTGTATTCAACAGTTGCTCGTTTGGAAATCTAATTTGCATACATTTGATGCCAATAGCTTTCGCAACAAACAAGCCAGTTCTCAAAGAATCCAAATTGATTTTAGTCATGCAACAGCTCCACATAACTCCGCCATAGACACACCAGTTGCTGGAGTACCAAAAAAGCTGTGATGACAGTATTTTAATTGATCCACGACAATCGGTGGCATGTGGAATGCGTGATGGAAATTTTCTGGTGCTTGATAGACAATATACTACAAGAGTGAAACGCTACAAGTGAAACGCTGTGATACTAATTTTTCTTAAATTTCCATCTTTTATTTGCAGTTACATTAAGAAGCTAATAGAGGACAAAGCTGTTGGTGACGAAGGTGTCGAGTTACTGAAGTACTGCAACTGGGAAAATCCACATTTCGCACGTGCCTCACTCGTATGGAATAGTAGCTTATGTCAGTATAAGGCGGCATTCGCAGTATAATGCGGCATTCGCAGTATAATGCGGTATTCGCAGCATACCTTCACTGGCGCCGAGCCGTTGAAGAAGTTTTGGCAAATAAACGTGCAAGAAATATTTCCGATACTAGCACGTCCATATTCTTGTTAAGGGTCATCGAAAAATTCCTTGTGTTGTATATAATAAGGGGAATGCCGGATAATACTAAAGCCAGCTTCCCGACATAAACTACTATTCCATACGAACACAGAAATATAAATGTATCTAAAACAGAATAACTCATATCAAATTGGATTGCATTTGCATAATATAACTAATATTGGAATCTGTTTTGATCGTAAAAAATACAACTTGCAATCATTTAGATTATAGTTTTGAAAGAAATTGATTGCAATCGTAAATTGTGTAAAAATTGTTAATAGCAATCTGCCTTAAATTTATGTTCCCCATGTAACGGTTATAAAATACGTTAAATTCGCACTATCTGCATTAACAAAATATATACATTGGAATATTTGAAATAAAACGATTCATATTTATTTTCTAATAAGAATTGTTTCTTAATTGAAAGTATTTAATACTAATATAATGTAGTGGTTAATGTTTAAAACTGAATTCGCAATATGTCCGCAGCTCAGGTTGATTTGAAGAAATCCGTTTAAATTTTTCGAATTACATCTACTTGAATATAGGATAGGCAGGGTTGCATACAAATGGTAGTTCCGTAAATATTTAAAATATGTTAGTTCATTCAATATTTACATCTGGGCCAATCACCGTTGCCAACCGTCCTGTTTTCGGCGGGACTGTCCCGGTTTTAAGAGCTATGTCCCGGTCCCGGTACAATACCTGCCAGGACGCAAAATGTCCCGGTTTTTGGCAAGAAAAAAATTTAGACATTTCTTTGTAAAAAATTTAGAACTCTTTAAATATTTACATTTTACATATACTATTTACTAATCGATCTATATGCCAAAAAAAAAAAAGAAAAAAAAAACAAACAAACAGAATTTGTAATTGTTTCCCGGTTAAAATGAGTGAAATACTAAGTATATTCGGCAATGTATTCTTTGAAAGAAACTACCTGCAAAGAAATTCCCAAAAATCAACACGATTTTTTACTAACTTTAAACTGGCACTGTGTTATCCTAATATGCCAACTTGTATGCAAATTTATTGAATTTTCCTAAGTTTTGCAGGAAGTTAAAATATTTTTTTTTATGTTTTTTGTGTTAGTATAAACAATATTTTTACAAAAAATTCGCGGACAATTTTAAGCAAAAAATTTATAGCATACATTAAAAAAAATTCTGTGTGCCAACAATTTAAAGCGGAAATGTACATACATATGTACATATCTGTGATCTTAAGTAATAACCGCCTAAGTCGACTTAAGGAAGAATTGAGTTATACAGGGTGTCCCAGAAGTAACGTGCCAAACTTTAGGGCAAGGTAGGTGGGGGGGTGAGCTCACTGATAAACAAAAAATTTTCAGGTAAAAGTGTCACCGTTTTTGAAATATTTACATTTTTTCGAATTTAAAAAAAATCGTGCCTTTTCATGTGTTTTCTTTAACTGCAACTACAAACCGGGCAATACTTAGTAAATTTTTTATGTAAAATACTTCCAGATAGTTGCCTCTCCATACTCAAATGCAATGTAGTTAAAATATATTAAGGAACCATCATAAAATTAGGACTAT